CACACACACACACACACACACACACACACACAAAATTTGGTCCTTGACCTGGAATTACTTAGTAGTATACTTGACAAGGTGAAACTTCCTAGAGTAAAGCCACATGAAACATTTATAAAGCGGTACATCATAGATTACAAATTAAATATAAAAGTACTGAACACTTACATTCTGTATAGTTTGGAAGATATTAAATATGTGAACAATTTGAAACAGAAAAAATAAGTTAAATTTCCTTCAGTATAGATTACTAGATGTTTGCAGCTATCCCTCCTGACAGTGCTGCAGTGGAAATTGCTGCCCGTATATATATATCTGTGGGGTCATTTTTGTAGCTGAGCTAACACAACCCTAATCCTCAGGAAGGTTTGCAAGAGAAGTTTGAGCAAAAACAGGACATTTTGTTGCAGAAATACTAGGTATATAAATAATTTCTTTTTAAAATAGACTACTTTGTTTCTTTTTTTCTTTTTGCTCTTATAGCACTATTTGTGATGAAACCAAATATGTGATTGCCCTTAAGAACATTACAGGAATTTGAGCTGTAAGGAAAGGGGGAAAAGATAGTATTATTTTCATCTACAGTTGTGTATTTACCTTCATCTCTTTTATTCTTTGATGGATTTTTCTTGCAGTTGTGTAAATTCTATAATTCTGAGTAACCACGTTCTAAATGTTTTAGTCACTTATGAACACAGCTACAAAGGGGCTTCAGAAAGTTAGTGGAATGACATGTATTATCTTTTAATTCAATTTTTCCGCAAATTTTTGAAGTACCCTCATATTTTTATCAGTTGAAAATCCTTTGAACAGGTGTCCAAAATGGTTTAATCCACATACTTTTTGGCTTTGCCTGTCTCTGGTTCCCCTGACACTCTTTGCAAGACTAGTTAATTCTTTGTAATTAAGAAGGGCAACCTATTTAATTTAGAGATATTTTTGTACTTCTTAGAACAGTAAATATTAGCATTTGTACTTTGAAAGAATTAGAAGTGTGTGGAGAAATAATTTTTCCCTAAGCCACATAAATATAGGCATATTAGACAACAAAAACATATTTTCTGTTAGTCACCCCTCATTTTAACAGTGAAGTGAGAATTGAAAGGTAGATAAAAATTGTAAAGCATATTGTAACATTTTTAAAAAAATAAATCTTACCTAGACATTTAAATTTTTTTCTTGGAAAATTGAGTAATTGTAGTTGAAAATACAATCTAATTATTTTGTTCATTAATTTGATAATAAGAAGAAAAGAACTGAAGTATTCTATCACATGGTTTCTAATAAACTGTGATACATATGTGTGATTGTACACTATTTTGTCACAGTTTTGATTCCTCCTTAAATATAATACTCCCTGAGGAAAATATTTGAATTTTTTTTTTTTTTTTTGCCTCACTTTAACCCCACAGATGGTTATATTTGGTTTCAAATTTTTC